AAAGCTCTCGAGATGTGCTATAAGAATATGCAATGAAAAATGGGGTGTTCCATTTAAAAAAATTAATGTGACCTTGACCTGACCTTCGCTACGCAACCCAAGGTCAAACTGATGTGATCAGTAAATACATCTTTTTAAACGCCACAACTTTTGTCTGAAACATTTTTTTGTAAAACTTATATTTTTCCTGATATTCGGGGGGTCCCGGTACTTTCCGAACACCCTGTATATATATATATATATATATATATATATATATATATATATATATATATATATATAGGGGGTCCCGCGTAAGACGGAACAAAAGAAAAATATAAGTAGAACACATAAAAGTGAACAAAAATTGTATAGGTCATTTTTCAAACAATCACGTAAAATTTGGAGATATTAATTAAAATAGTTGGACAAATTAGAACACGCGACGCGACAGGCGGGACATACGGTTTGCAGCGATCGACGAAGAAAATGGACGATTGCTTGCGGGCCTGTCTCATAAGCCAGAGAGGCAAATCGTTCGGGGCTATACTGAAATGGATAGCTCCGTGTGTACATCCGTGTACGTGCGCTCGGAACGTCGGGCGACGAGTAATACAAGGTGATAGATATATGAAGTTCAATCTCTTTCTCCCGTGCACGCATTATTCTTTTCACAGTGACCATCACGGCAGCGATGCTGGGCAGAAGACGCGGCTCCTACGTACACAAAGAGGAGCCAGCTACATGTACGCTTAGTGCTTGAACTGTCAATATATATGTATAAGCGCGCATGCATGGCTGCTTCTTGTGTACGTGCACTGTTAAATCCGTAATGTCAAATTAATTTGAATCATTTTCAATTATTCCTATAAGTTGCCACTGCTCATACTAAATATGTCGTTAATTTAAGTAAGATAGAGAGAGATCTTTCGCCGAGCAAGAGAAAGAATGTCATTCCCTCTTTCTCGTTCTACATCGCACACCCACAGAAAAGATTTCTATTAACAAGAAAAAAAGTATTCTTGATGTATTAAATTTTATCACAATCTAATGCAGCATAAAAATAAGACAATATTAAGATGAAATCAATAATTCTTATTCTCCTTGTTAAAATAAAATTGACATATAGTCTTACGATAAGAATAATATATATATATAGATTTAAGTGTATTATTCTTGAATTTAGAATAAACCTTTGTTTAAAACTGGGAGCGTTCAGGGAGCAGACTGGTATGTCACTATACGCATACGTAGAAGGCTTCCTGTTGTAGATAAAATCTCACGAACTCTGAACACTGATTCTAAGGCCCTAAACACAATGCGAGAGAATAACGATAGCGATAGAAATTGATCAATCTCAGTTCATTATTCTTGTAATAAGTAGTTTATGATTGGTCAATTTCTATCACTATCGCTATTCCCTCGCATTGTTTAGGGCCTTTTTTTTTTTTTTTTTTTTTTTTTTTT